AACGTGTCTGTCACGAGTAGTGGGGGCACTCTGGCCAGCTCACACATCAGCTCACATAAATGTTTTGGAACGTCGCATGGTTTTGAATGTGATTCAACATTTCGCTCCCTTGCTGCATAATCAACATGTTTTGATCCACACAGATAACAAGGTCACTGCAGCTTACATAAACCGGCAGGGGGCGTGTGCTCAGCCCAAATGTTACACATTGCGAGACAGCTGCTGTGTTGGGCACACGAAAACCTGCTCTCCATCAGAGCAGTGTACATCCCCAGCGTTCTGAACAGAGGAGCAGACATGATGTCCAGGGGCGGTCCGCGCCATGGGGACTGGAGCCTTCATCCCGAGCTGATTTCTCAGACCTGGAAGAAAGAAGTGGACTTATTTGCTACACGGGAGAACGCCCAGTGCCAACTATGGTTCTCACTGAGCCCACGGGACGATCCACCGTTAGGAGTGGACACGTTTGCCCACAGCCCGTGGCCCGAAATGCTCCTTTACGCTTTCCCCCAGTCCCTCTAATATCACGGTTTCTGAGCCGAGTTCAGGAGGAAGAACTGTTTGCCATTCTGATAGCCCCCAAGCACGTGAGCGCCCCGTGGTTTCCAATCCTGCGACATCTGTTATTGGGTCGTCCATGGAAACTGCCGTGGAGGGACGATGCTCTCCTCCAGGCAGGAGGAGCGATCAGGAGCCACCCAGAAATAGGCCAGCATCTTTGGGTCTGGCCATTGAGCGGAGCCACTTAGAGAAGATGAGTCTCTCTCAAGAAGTAGTGCGCACGATCCAGGATCCACACGCCGCCTTCGCCACAGCGTTGTACACATCAAAGTGGACGGTTTTTCAACGCTGGTGTATGGGAAAAGGTGTAGGGGCCATCTCATGTCCACTATGTGGCGTGCCGTCATTTCTGCAGCAGCCGATGGACAAAAATCTGGCATTCAGCACAATTAAAACGTATGCTGCAGCCATCTCTTCCTGTCACAAAGGCTTCGGTGACAAAACAGTTTTTCCGATTAAATTTTTGTCATTTAAAACAGCCCTGCTGTTGGCTTTGACATCTGCAAAGAGAGTGAGTGATTTATCTGCTCTCTCTGCTGCTCCGTCTTGCCTCAGGTGTTCAAGCTGATGGCAGTTTCAGCTGATCTGAGACCTAACCCAGCGTTTATGCCTAAAACATCACGAGCTCATTTAAATCGAGAATGATAACGTTGGAAGGTTTTCTCCCTCCTACCCACAAATCAGAAGAAGAAGCGTCTTTTCATCTTCTCTGCCCTGTGCATGTGTCGGCGTGTTACACATCACGCACAGCCACACTGAGTCAGACTCAACATTTATTTGTGCATTATAGAGACGCTCTGCTCATTTATTCACTTCTATATGCGTGATCTGTCGGCTCGCTCCATGACGCATTCTGTCCTTGGTGTCTTAACAGAATGAATTTCATTGTTTTTCATGGAACTTAGTTTTAAACTCACATCTGACTGCATGCAATTACAGTGTGAAATATTTGTTATCAGTCACAAGTTTGTGACTGTTGGTTTTTGTTCTAATGTCACTAATCAGTTCATAAATACTGTTACAATCAGTTCATTTGATTACTAATCAGTTAATTTATTTTGAATCTGTTCACTGTTTTTTCAGCCTCTCCCCTTTTTCCCGTCGAGAACTTTTCTCTCCGGGTGCCCATGTACACGGAATGCGTAAATTACACAGCGCGCGCCTGTACATGGTGCGCGTAATTATGCAGCGCGTATTTACGCACATGGAGGGCTGAGGGATAAAATGTTTTTTGGTGTAAGCGGGCACTTCATACAGTGTTCGAATGGACCCAGTGAGGCGAAGTGCAAAGACCACATCCTGCTTTGCCCTTAACCCACAAGCGACAGCCTTAAAGGGCGAAGCCTATATGAAATAGAATGTTGGTTACGTACTGTAACCCCATATTTTATGAGTATAGGCGTAGCCCTTTAAGCTCTGGGCCTCACTGGCTCCTGAATGGCTGAAGAAAAAGCTATTTGGGAGCCGATTACCAGCTCTCAACGTAATTTATACGGACCGGGTGGGGCCCACACGACAGGTGAGCGTGGACTAAATTTTTCAGTGCGACGCTTTGCGTGACAGGATAAAACCCACAAGCGACAGCTACGAGCTAACGCTAAAGCCGGTAAACTCCCCATGCCGTCTCTCTTTCTGTCTAACGTCCGCTCGTTGGACAACAAGATGGATTTACTTCGTCTGAGAGCCGGCGCCTCAGAAGAGATGAAGAAGTGTGCAGTGCTTTGCCTCACGGAAACGTGGATTACAAGTGAAACGCCGGACTCAGTCTTCCAGCTGGATGACAGACTCTTTTTTCGAGCGGACCGCTGCAGCGAGCTAACGGGGAAATCACGGGGGGGCGGAGTGTACATTTATGTGAGTAAAAGTTGGTCCACGAACTGTACTGTTGTAAATAGCTCATGCTCGAAGGCTTTGGAGCAAATAACAGTGAAATGTCGGCCACATTATCTACCCCGAGAGTTCACAGTGACTTTTATCACAGTTGTTTACATTCCTCCGGACGCTAATGCTAATGAATCACTGCAGGAGCTTCATGATATCATCAGCTCGCTGCAGAACAAACACCCCGAGGCTCTTTACGTTGTAGCCGGAAACTTTAACCACGTGAATCTAAAGGAGTGTCTCCCAAGCTTTAATCAGCATGTGACGATTCCGACACGTGGAGACCGCACGCTGGACCGTGTTTACATGAACGTAAAAGATGCATACAAAGCCGAACCCCGCCCCCACCTAGGACAGTCAGACCACATCTCAATCTTCCTGGCTCCTGCTTACATGCCCCTGCTGAGACGCTCCAGACCGGTACAAAAGAAAGTTAAATGTTGGATCCAGGACAGTGGCCCCATACTGAGAGATTGTTTTGACCGAACAGACTGGCAGGTTTTCAGAGAAGCTGCTGAAAATGGAGGTTCGCTTGATCTTGACCAATACACATCCTCAGTACTGGGTTACATTAGTACATGTACTGACACAGTCTCCACTATCAGAAATGTTAAAAGCTACCCAAACAGAAAACCTTGGCTGAATACAGAGGTGCGTACCCTGCTGGAAGCCAGGAACACTGCCTTCAGGTCTGGAAACTCAGAGGAGCTGAGTAGGACAAGAAAAGAGCTGGTTGCTGGTATTAAGAGGGCCAAGGCCACATATGCAAAGAGGATCGAGGGTCAATTCATCTCACAAGACCCTCGGAGCATGTGGAGGGGCATTAAGTGCATAACAGATTATAAAGGAAGGAGTGAACAATGCCCCAAAGACCCATCTCTGCCTGATGCCCTCAACAAGTTCTATGCACGCTTTGAAGACCCGAACAGACCACCCAGCACCAGACTCACCTCACCACCGGATGAAGAGCATCTCAGCGTGACCTCAGCAGAAGTAAGGAGTACCTTCAGGAGGATTAATCCGCACAAAGCAACTGGCCCAGACAACATCCCCGGAAAAGTGTTGAAGGAATGTGCTGATCAGCTCTGTGAGGTGCTGGCAGACATCTTTAACACCTCACTTACCCTGGAGACAGTTCCCACCTGCCTGAAGACTGCCACCATCATCCCAGTCCCAAAAAGCTCTACAGTGACTGGTCTGAATGACTATCGGCCAGTGGCCCTCACCCCGATAGTCGCTAAATGCTTTGAAAAACTGGTCATGACTCACATCAAAACAACCATCAACATCAACGAGGACCCTCATCAGTACGCATACCGTGAGAACCGATCAACAGAGGATGCAATCTCCTCTGTGGTCCACACTGCGCTCAACCACCTGGAGCAGAAAAACTCTTACGTCCGTATGCTCTTTGTGGACTTCACATCCGCCTTCAACACCATGATCCCCCAAACCCTGATGGACAAACTATCCACACTAGGACTAAGCCCCTCCATCTGCAACTGGGTACTAGACTTTTTAACAAACAGACCACAGTTAGTGAGGATCCACAACCTCTCCTCCTCCACCATAACCCTCAGCACTGGCTCTCCTCAGGGATGTGTGTTGAGCCCCCTTCTGTTTACTCTGCTCACATATGATTGTGCAGCTACCCATCCAGGCTGTCACATTGTAAAGTTTGCAGATGATACAGCGGTGGTGGGATGCATCACAAACAATGATGAGTCCAGCTACAGGCAAGAGGTGGAACACCTGGAGAGCTGATGCAGAGAGAATAACCTTCACATCAATGTGAAGAAGACAAAGGAGATGATTGTGGACTTCAGAAGGAACAAAAACACCTACACCCCCCTGAACATAAGAGGATCTGCGGTGGAAGTGGTCTCCAGCTACAAGTACTTGGGTGTACACATGAATGACAACCTCAGCTGGAGCAACAACACCACCAGCCTGATCAAGAAAGCTCATCAGAGACTCTACTTCCTCAGACGGCTGAGGCGAGCTGGTCTGGGAAGCTCAGTCCTCACCTCCTTCTACAGGTGTGCAGTGGAGAGCATCCTGTGCTCGAGCATCAATGTGTGGCATGGAGGCTGCACAGCTGCAGAAAGAAAAGCTTTGCAGAGAGTGGTGAAGGCTGCACAGAAATCTGTTGGAATCAGTCTCCCCACCATCACAGACATCTACACCTCCAGATGCAGGAAGAGGGCCACCTGCATCATGAAGGACCCCACCCACCCAGCACACACACTTTTTGCCCCACTCCCCTCAGGAAGGAGGTTAAGGAGCATTAAGTGTAGAACCACTAGACTGAGGAACAGCTTCTTCCCTGAGGCTGTTAGACTCATGAA